CTCTTCCCTGTCTCAGATAATAATAATATCTTACCCTTCAAAATGTCGAGATCTTCAATGTCACCCACCGAAGAAAACAACAACACGAGCAGCAACAACAATAATAATCCTCCCACTAGCACCCGCGGCAGACGACGCTCTCACCACGCCTGTCTGACTTGCAGGTTGGCAAACCAAACACACAATGCGATGTGATGTCGCGTCTATCACAGCTGTACTGATTTGAGAAACCCAGACGAAAGAAGACCCGTTGCCCAGGCGAGAAGCCAGCATGCTCCAGCTGCGTCCGCCTCAAACAGTCGTGCTCCTATCCCCCGGCAATCAGGCCCTCTCAGAGCGGTCCTTCGGTACGTTGTGCATGGGGTTTTGCACACGCAAACAAAAAAAAACATAACTTGACGATTTTAATTAGGAGGAGAGATTGGCCCATCTGGAGGAGAAGCTTGACTTCTTGCTGAACGGAAGCTTGTAAGTATTTTTCTTATGTCTGACGCTTACTTTACAGTGGGAGGGGTTCTAACTTTTGGGGGCGCTTTACAGGCCTACGTCACAACAAAAACAGAACCAACACCACCAGCAAAACCATCACCAACAGCAACAGCTCGATTCGGCCCTCGAAGAAACAACAGACACGTCCGAAAAGTCATACTCTGGCGTGCGAAACACGCGCGAGCACAGTTACCCTACAAGCCATCCCTCAGTAAAGTCCGAATCCGAGAACTCGTCTCTGCGACCGAGCCATTCCGATATCGCTGTTGGTATCTCATTGTACTTTGAGTTCTGCCACCGACAGCCAATATGGTGTTTTGAGCGCGACGAGGTCAGGGACTTTGGGTCTATGCATGATGAGCTTGCTTGCAGCATTCTTGCCTTGACGCTGCGATTCTCTGACAATGGCGATCAGGCAAAGTTGTACGCCAACAATGCCAAGAGTCTCATCATGCTGAGGATCGCAAATGGAACTGTTGATCTTGCGACACTTGAGAGTCTCTGTCTTCTCTCGTACTCCTCATTTATTGGTATGTTTCTGCTATTTTCATTGTCGCGACACTTGAACTAACATTTCTAGACGGTAATGTTCACCTTGGCCAATTCCACCTCGGCCTTGCGCATCAATTATGTCGCTCTGCGATGCTGGACGTCGAGACCGTTTACGGCATGGAAGATCCCATGTCGGACCGCAAGAAGAGGCTATTCTGGAGTCTACAGATGCTTGAGCAGTCTTACGGCCGACAAGAAGGTCTTTTGAGCGTACCAACAGAGGTCTGGCGCCCGGCCTATTCCACTACTCGAGGCCAAATGCCAGACCCAAGAGCGCCGTCTCTCCCCAGGGATGATCTCGGTTGCCAACACCAGAACGAACCTGGTATCTGGAACACCAGTGTTCATCTCGGCTGGGTCTGGAGTCAAGTGCGAAAATACGTCTCCGATTGCTCACACAACAACATCAAGGAGCCTTGGAGACATGACTCGATGTACGCGAAAGTCCTCGCCGACTTTATGGAGACGGAGAACAGGATACCCATGTGCCATCGCTATGACACTGTCAAATTCTACGAGCGCAAGGTCGAGGACTTGAAGATACATCGCGATTACTGGGCGCCATGGTTGAAGGAACAGTTCACATACCACGTCATTCCGACTGTATTGAACCATCCTTTCTTGTACATCGTGGGAGCCCAGCACAACCCCAACCTCGCCATCCCAAACACTTTTTGGAGGCGATCGTCAGAATTGGCACTTCTGCATTCCACATGGATCGTTCGAATGATCGACATGGTCGTCGATAAGCAAGTACCGCTTGCAGATCCTTTCTTCGGCCACGTCGCTGCCATTGCGGCGACTGTGCACCTGTACTACTGCTGTGCTGCTGCGACGCGATTAAAGCACAAGTCAAACACGGACTTTGCCAAGTGCAGGCGATTTTTGAAGACGTTTATGCACACTTCAGCAGCTTGCAGAGCATTGGTATGTACTTCTTTTGAGTGTCGCATGAATTTGCACTAACAATTGACAGGACCGCAACCTTGACAAGATGACGCGCATCGCTGCAGGTACATCTGATAGCATGGACGTTGAAGACTGGATGCCCTCAAAGATCTACCTCAGCGTCCCTCTCATGTGGAAGATCCTCCAGTTCAACACTTTCGCAGACTCTCACGAGCTCCCAACAGCTGGTCTTCTCAACCAATCCCTCGTCCCAAACCCCACAAACGAGGATACAAACGAGAACATCACGCTGGAGATCATCGTCGCGAGCGCACCGGAGATCACAATCAACACTGCAGACGGCGGCCAAGAAGCGCCAACGGCATCTTACAAGGCCCCGCTCTCGTCGCAGGGTCCGGACTCTGCGCGCGACACTGTCTACGATGAGGTGCCAGTGGACGATAACTTGACGCTATGCACTACGCCATGGCTCTACGCGGACTCGTCGCAGTTCGTCAACATTGCCGACATGGGCTGCGATGACCCCCAACCTGCCCTGAGCGAGAGCAGAGGGCCTGCATGGTGGGAAGGTGAAAATTTTAGTAATATCATGTTTAATCACTTTTAGGAGTATGGTAAATGGAACTTGGGTATGGACAAAAAGGCTAGGGTAGGGTAGTGGAAATCTGATCTGCAGCAGAGACACATACAGTAGAGTATTCTCTAACTTAATTGAGACGTCTAGAAGACTGGGCGTATTACCTTCTCCCGTCATTCCATGCATAACGAGACTTGTCATTCCCTGTTTTAGATCAACGGTGCATTGTCTCCCGAATTCTTCTCTCCAAATCTCCAGTTACAGTACATACAGAGTAAACCAAAACAGGGCGACGTTGCAGGTCTTCTCTCCACAATGACAGAAACCGCGCATCATCCATCCATCACCAAGCCTCGTCCCGTCAGTGTTGTTTACTGAGGAGCTGAAACTCCCTCGGCGGGTTTGTCCCCTGCTCGCTCTCCGATGAGCGTCTCGATTTGGGGGTCCGGGGTAGCCGAAACCGGGCAGATTTCCTGGGGAAGACGCCCAAGGCCAAAAAGTTTGAAAATGCGGGGGAGAGAAGGGTTGCCGGAGATGGAGAAGACGCTAGATATGCACAGTGTGTCCCTCCCTAGCCAAGGTGAGAGACTGAGTGGATGAGAAAGTGTCGAGGGGTGGGGACCGTGCTCGACTACTTTTTTGCTTTAAAGAGAAAGGGAAAAAGTCTCTCCCGCATGTCAGCATTTCTATGTGTCAACAAGTCTCCATACGATGAAACCGGGCGTCTACACAACCTGGGGTAAACCGGGGAAGTCGGGCTATATTTCAGGGCTCCGACGCGGGGGAGGGGACTTGGGAGGCTAATTTGGCGATATTGGGAGAGGCGAGGCGGGTCAGCCGGACAGTCTAGATTTTCATCTGACGATGCACAGTTTTTGGTGTTGAGCTTAGCTTCACGGCGCAATGCACATCAGAAACCCTCCCTCACCTGAGTCGGCTTTCGTTTCACCGCTCCACTTGGGCATGCCACGACATGACATGGCGGTTGGATATTCGTACATATCCTCTTGGCAAATGTGGTCTTCATTCATAGGTCGACTTGTCTACTCGGTTCCATCGGCTGCAGAGGAGGCCAGAATTCCAGGGTCGACACCATCTCTGGAATGGGAAATTTGGTAGGCCAATGGGGCATCATGCAATCCAACGTGCCTGGCAACCAAATGAGCCAAGCTTTTCTGACCGTGAAGATGATTGGCTTCGTCGGACTACCTTTTGGAAGGGTTGTTTGTTGTTATTGCCGGTTATTTCCCCGTCCTTGACCATCGTGAACTCAATTGGTGTCGCCTCAATTGGGTTAATCTTGAGGAAACACGGCACGAAGAGCCTATCGAGGGAGGGGAAGAGTCACAAAGGGAACAACACCAAATCCCATTCATTAGAATGAGCGGTAAGAATGACTACCGATGACAGCTCGACGATAACGAATGCGCTTCGTGTCGCTCTCAATTGGTGTAGAAACATAGCAGGGAGGGGGGTCTCATTGCCACGAGATTGCACAAGCGAAACACCAACGCCCCTCGCGAGATGAAGGCATCGTGAAATGTGACTCTCCCGCAAAAGGTCCCATGACCAATTTTCTTGGGGTGTTTTTGCTTTGCTTGTGCGGTAAATTGCAAGGGTAAAAATAGCCTTTCCTCTTCACTATGACAAATCCGTGGCAGTCCAGCTGATTACCATTCCCCCTCCCCATGGCAAAACTTCATGCAACCCCAACCGAGCGGCGTCTACTACTTGTTTAACCTTTTCCATTGAGCAGGCATGGGTCTCTGACGCTTCGACAGTGGCCGTTCCTCGCCTGCAAGATCCGACATCGCGCGTTCTATTCTCTATCTCGTTTCGTTATCACGCGTCCTATCATCCTCAGCACGGGGTCAACCGGCACTTGGTGCCCGGTCCAAGACCAAAATAGATCTAGACTCGTCCCGTTATCTCTGTAGCTCTGCTTCCCCGCATGCCAGGCCCGGAAAACGCAACACCATAAACACACGCCCTCCACCTTTTGAACGGCGCCGCCTCTCCATGCCGATCACGTGAGCGCTCCCGCAACCGGAGGTTCTCATGTTAGTTGCTCTTATCGTAACCATGACATAGTGACAAGATACTTTTGAGGATGATCTCGGTGAGGAGGAGTGCGGAGTCGTAGATTGCTGATAGAAAGATATATTTCGACTAGAACCTTTGATCTTTGCCAATAGAAGCTTCTGTGTTGGAAACCATTCTCATCTCATCCTCCTTTTTCCATCTCATCCCTTTGCCTACATCACATAATAGCAGAAATGGCACCCTCACCGCGGCTTCTCATTATTGGCGCTGGCATCGTTGGCGTCAACGTTGCTGATGAGCTGGTCTCTCGCGGCTGGACCGACATCACGGTCCTGGACCAGGGACCTCTGGACATGCCTGGTGGCTCAACCTCTCACGCCCCTGGCCTTGTATTCCAGACAAACACATCAAAGACTCTCAGCAAGATGGCCACATACACAGTTGAGAAGCTACTATCACTAGACTGCTTCAACCAAGTCGGTGGTTTAGAAATCGCTACTACTCCTGCACGGCTGGAGGAGCTCAAGCGAAAAAGGGGATATGCTTACTCTTGGGGCATTGAGGCGAATCTCATCAGTCCTGAGAAGTGTCTTGAGTTGTACCCCTTGCTGGATAAGAGTAGGGTACTTGGTGGACTTCACATTCCTACTGATGGTCTTGCACTGGCTCGTCCTGCTCAAGCGAAGCTTATTGAGCGAACGAGAGCAGCTGGTGTCAAGTATCACGGATCTACAGTGGTCACATCCATCGATCACCACGACGGCCACGTCTCAGCTGTTCACACAAAGAATGGAACTTTCGAGGCTGATATCGTCATCTCATGCGCTGGATTCTGGGGTGTTGAGATTGGAGCCATGGTTGGCCTGCCAGTTCCCCTGACACCAATGGCTCACCAATACGTGCACACAAAGTCAGTTCCTTGCCAGAAGGGCAAGAATGAGGAGCCCAACGGTGCCAAACTACCTATCCTCCGTCACCAGGATCAGGATCTCTACTACCGTGAGCACGGTGATCACATCGGTATTGGATTCTACGGCCATCGCCCAATGCCCGTTGTTGCAGCCTCGCTTGGTGAGACACCTAAGAACGTCGATTCCCGAAACATGCCATCCAGCCTCCAGTTCACTCCCAAGGACTTCGCACCAGGTTGGGAGTTGTCAAAGGAGATCCTTCCTGCTCTCCGAGAAACTGAGATTGACCACGGTTTCAACGGTATCATGTCTTTCACCCCCGACGGTGGCCCTCTCGTTGGCCAGGCCCCCAACTTTGACAACTTCTACGTCGCTGAAGCTGTCTGGGTCACACAATCTGCTGGTGTCGGCAAGGCACTTGCTGAGCTTCTCACCACGGGCCGATCTGAGATCGACCTTTCCGAGTGCGACATCTCCCGCTTTGAGCAAGTTCAGCTTTCACCTGCCTACGTCGCCGAAACCACCTCTACACAGTTCGTCGAAGTCTACGATATCCTCCACCCTCTCCAGCCCAAAGAGTCACCCCGCAACCTCCGTGTCAGCCCCTTCCACCAGCGCCAGCAGGAGCTGGGTGCCTACTTCCTCGAGGCTGGTGGTTGGGAACGCCCTCACCACTTCGAAGCCAACGAGAAGCTGCTCAAGGATCTGCCTGAGGCTTGGAAGCCTGTCGAGCGAGATGCTTGGTCTTCTCGATACTACTCTGCTGTTTCGGCGGCTGAGGCCTGGAAGACGAGAACTGCTGTTGCTCTGTACGATCAAACTCCTATTCGACGTCTGGAGATCACTGGTCCCGGTGCTGCTGAGCTGCTTCAGCGCTTGACGACTGGTAACGTTGCTGGAAAGGTTGGCAAGGTGACATTCACCCTACTCTTGGATAGCCATGGTGGTATCAAGAGTGATATCTTCGTCGCTAGACTCGGGGAGGATCTCTTCCATCTCGGAGTCAACGGTCCTGTCGACCTTCACTACTTCACCCGTGAGGCCAAGGTTCAGACCAAGGCCAGCCCTCACCGAGCAGTCCAGGTCCGCGACATCACAGGTGGTCTCGCTGCCGTTGGAGTATGGGGTCCCCGTTCCAAGGATCTCATCAAGCTCGTCAGCAAGGACGACTTCTCCGACCGGGCCCTGCCTTACCTGAGCGTCAAGAAGGCTGAGATCTCTGGCATTCCCGTCATCGCCACCAACTTCTCATACATTGGCGAGGAAGGCTGGGAGATCTACACGACCGCAGACAATGGTCTGCGACTTTGGGACGCTCTCTGGCAGGGTGGCCAGCCTTACGGAGTCATTGCTGCTGGCCGAAGCACCTTTAACGCTCTCCGCATCGAGAAGGGTTTCAGATCTTGGGGTACAGATATGACATCTGAGTACGACCCTTATGAGGCTGGACTCGAGTTTGCTCTCCAGCCTGGCAAGGATGGCTATGCTGGCTACAACGCCCTCAAGGGTCGGTCCAGCGAGAAGGTGTCTCGCCGCATTCGCGGCCTCACCATTGACGACGGTCGCTCCGTCATTCTCGGCAAGGAGCCAGTGTTCGTCAAGGGCCGTGCCGTTGGCTACGTGACAAGCGCAGCATTCGGATACAGCGTTCGCAAGCCTATTGCTTACGCATATCTACCCAAGGAAGTCATCGAGGGCGACAAGGTAGAGATTGAGTACTTCGGCAAGCGCATCAAGGCTACCGTTACATCTCTTCCCTTTTACCAGCCCGAGAAGAGCGCTTATGGCCAGACCTCACAGGCCAGCTTCTCTGCTCGTCTGTAGATTATGAACTTTACGATTTCCTTTGTCTTAGGTATCTCATCTGTCTTTCTGCGATTAGGACGAGGGTTTTGTGATGCTGGAATTCCTTATGGCGGAGAAGTCATGTTATGGGAAAAGTCTTAATAGGCAGCTCACTCTTGCATAATGAGCGATGATTTCTACTAGATGTTAATGAACCATGTTTTATAACTTATGACTTTGGTCTCGGTGAATCTCCTACTAGTTTGTCTTATTTGTAAGTCGGCATTGAGTCTTCCCGTGAGCTGTCTTGGCTGACAAGGATAATGATCCGAGCTGCCATTTCTGGAATATCCCAGCGGACATGATAGGTCGCGATGCAAGAACTAGCGGAAAGGGACAGGAATAGTTCGATTCATAACGTTGCTTCTCAGGGTTGCTTATCAATTCTTCTCGATTACAACTCGGATAACAATGGTCTTATAAGTCGTAACGCGACGAATCATTAGCTAACTCGCTCAACGGCATCCAGAAATCGAGAGAGAATCCTTCAACGGTAGAAGAGATGGCTAGAATGCAAGCATTTGTGACGGATGGCAAAGGAAGCGGCTCCGTCCAGTTGATTCCTCGTCCAAGCCCGCGAGAAGGGGAAATTCTTGTCAAGATTCACTACGCGGCTCTAAATCCTGGTGACTGGAAACTCGTTGAAGGCGATGTCTTGGATGGACCAGCACAGCCAGGTCTCATTGCAGGCTGTGACTTCGCCGGCACAGTCGAAGACCCCAACGGCTCCGACTGGAAGAAAGGCCAGAGAGTTGGTGGCTGGGTTCATGGCGCAACCTTCGAAGGTGTTGGATCTTTTGCAGAGTACATGAACATCGAGGCATCACTCGTATTTGCCGTGCCCGACAATACTAGCTTGCAGCAGGCATCAACTATCTCACTCGCTTTTGCGACGGCCACGCAAGCTATGTATCAGCGCTTGTCTTTACCTGAGCCCTGCCAGTCCAAAGAAAACAGACTGGAGTTTCTGGTGTATGGGGCTTCCACGAGTGTTGGCCTGTATGCTGTGCAACTTGGCAGGCTCAGCGACCTTCGTGTCATTGCAGTGGCCTCGTCCAAGAACCATGACCTCCTCAAGCGTCTGGGGGCCGAGGTCACAGTCGACTACCATGACGAAGATTGGGTTGAACGTGTCAAAGAGGTTACGGGAGGGCAATTAAGATATGCCCTCGATAACATTGCAGATGGAGGTTCTGCAGAGAAAATAGCCTGCTGCTTGGCTCATAGCCCAGGATCTCAGCTGATTGCTCTATCGCCACTGGACAAAAAGTCTCTTCGCGCTGTCAATCCATATGTCAAAGCCGAGTCAATGCTCGCTTTTACAGTTTTTGGCAGGGCGTTGGGTGAAGAATACACCGTGTTTGATAACACAGGTTCTGAGACACCAGACGAGAAAAGTGCTTGGGAGAAGTACCTACGACTAATAACTGGGATGCTAGAGAGGGGTGATCTTGAGGCAAACCATGTCGTAGAAGTTGGGACCCTGGAAAACGTTACTGAGGCTTTCCGGTTGAGCAGAGAAGGGCACTTGTCGGCTGCGAAGGCCGTCCTGAGAGTTGAGGCGGAACTTGGAAGGGATAGGTAGAAGTGAAACTATTGAACAGTGAGCCACAATACCTTTAAATAAACATCCTGATTAAGCTATTGATGATTGTCTGATTATCACGGAAATTCCCAACGTTGTTTAATCGATGTTGTTCCTGCTAGCTAACCTAGAGCGGGAAAGAAAACTTAAGCCCTTAACGATAAGTAATAAAAATATTTAGG